AGCTTTTGTTCAAGTAACCCTTATTTTACTTAATAATGACCCCAAAGCACAAAGTTAAAGATGCTGGCAATTTGAATATGTCAAAGAGAAGCCATAAAGTGCTTCTTTTAAGTGAAAAGATGAATATTCTCAATAATATTTATAATTAATAATTAATAAGGGAAGAAAAATACTGTATGCTGAAGTTGCTAAGATCTACGAAAACAACAATTCTTCTGTCTGTGAAATTGTGAGCAGTATATTGTTATAATCGTTCTATTTTCTATTAGCTACTGTTTTTAATCCGTTACTATGTCTAATTTATATGTTAAATTTTAGTGTGTATCATAGTATGTATGGATAGGAAAAAGTATAGGGTTTGGTGCTATCTGTGGTTTCAGGCATCCACTGGGGGTCCTGGAACATATCAGCCATGGATAAGGGAGGACTACTGTACTACAGGTCACCTTAGATATGGTGGTAACTTAGTAAATCTTTATGGACTTATATATTTATGCACATATGGTCTATATAATAGTTCACTGTCCATGTGAGTTGAATTCATACTTTTCTAGGTAGTTTGCATTGGGAAGGAGACTATGAGGCTGAATTAATTAGTTATGAGAAGATTATAGTATTGATGGCATAAAACACTGTCTCTCAGAAACCCTTAAGGATGATATTAACTAATTACATTTTCTATGGCTCAGGCCTACTTTTGATGTCAGTACACCATGTTACTTTGTCTCTCAGTCTGGACTCACATTAACTACATTCCTGGCATGTCACACTGAGGTATTAATTGGCAGTGATAATAACTGTCTTATAACCCAAAATATTCCGTTTTTACAGATCAGCTTTGGAAGACACATTATAATCAGGAGATTTCTTGGTGGGCATGTGCTCAAAGGTTTAATTGCCTGAGTTTATGATAAATCCTAATATTATGATCAGTCTCAAGTTCCCTCAGAGCTGGGTTGGACATCCCTCTTTTATACTTTTATAGCCTTATGATTATGTCATTGCACTGAAGATACTATCATAATTGCCTTTTGTCTGTAGCACAGGGCCTGGCACTTGTTAGCACTCAGTAGGTATTTATTGAATGAATAAATATAGGAATGGAGGGTGCTGGTAAAAACTTTCCTGTCCTCTGGATAGTGTTTGAATAAGTGTATTCTATATTTGTTCCTGTGAGTTTGTGTTTTATTCTATTGCTGATCAATCCCATTTCAACATGCACATTCTTTATTTAGCTTATTTTATACCTTCAATCAGCTCTTCGTCTACCCACAGTTTTGCAGTTTAACACTAGAAAGATAATTTCATGGGGTTATTTTAATTTTTTCATATATAACAACATTTAACTGATACTTGTGTGTATATAGATGGATAGATATCCATATGTATAAGCTTATATATATATCTGTCTAAATGGTTAAGCTTATACATATAGATACCTGTCTATATGGAAATACATATATATAAAATGTACATATATGTATATATGCATAACCATCAACCTATCCACACATTATTATAATATTATAGAGATAAGTATTATGGGTTGTAGATAATTCCCACATTCTTACTGGAACTGGACAGACCTGAGAAATTCTGTAATTCCAAAATATTATGCCATTATTTCTTACTCTATTGAGGCAGGAGAAATCACTCAGTGCCATGGGTACTAAAGACAAATGGTCTCAAAATGTCTCTTGTATATACCCATTTCTATAAAAGGTAAAACAATAATATCATACACACACACACACACATACACACACCACGTATATCTGCTTTAGTATGTACATAGACTCCGCAGCAGGATATCGAAGAATTGGTAACAATTGATGCCTTTAGAGGAAGGAAACAGAACTAGAAGAGGCTGGAGGAAGACTTACTTTTCAGTGTATTCCTTTTTGTGCCGTTTCAGTTTGCAGTGTCTTATCCCTTACTCAGAAATGAATAATTAGCAAATCAATAAATGTTCCTTCTGCCTTAAAAACAAGACTTCTGCTGCGCTTTCAAGCTTGCATCTCATTGCTACTGCTGTCGTGTTGAGTTATTCTGGACATAGAGAAGAAATGATCACACTTATCTCTGGTTTTGTTTTCCAGGACTTTGTTGGCATTAGGATGTCATGTGGGTATATCAGATGAACATGCTGAAGACAAGGTGAAAAAAATGAAGCTACCCAAGAAGTAAGTTGAATGACTAGGCAATATTAAATAATCTATGTAGAGATTTAGTGCAACCAAATAACTCTTGATGGACACACAGATGCCTTGCTTTTACTGAAGCTTTAAACTTCAGATTCAAGGCTGGGTCCCGTGGTTCACACCTTAATCCCAGCACTTTGGGAGGCCAAAGCAGACGAATCACCTGAGGTCAGGAGTTCAAGACCAGCCTGGCCAACATGGTAAAACCCTGTCTCCATTAAAAATACAAAAATTAGCTGGGCGTGGTAGCACTTGCCTATAATCCCAGCTACTCAGGAGGCTGAGGCAGGAGAATCACTTGAACTTGGGAGGCAGAGGCTGCAGTGAGTTGAGATCATGCCACTGCACTCCAGCCTAGGCAACAAAGTGAGACTTCATCTCAGAAAAAAAAAAAATTGGATTCAAAATTTAAACTAACTGAATTACCTTAGGGGTTACATTAAGTATCTGGTGAAGCAATAGTGTCTATCACATTGCTGAGTGATGAAACAAAGCTCAGATTATATTTGGGAGTGTGTTATAAAAACTGTGTTATTTTCCCAGTGTGTATTTATATGTTAACAGAGGTATCGATATTTCTAAATGATTACATATAGCTTTCTACTTTCTGCCCAGAAATCTTTATAATTTTATTTACTTTTACAATACAAATATATTTGAGGATTAATTATGAAGTCAGCATTATTATCCACATTTTAAGATGAGAAAATTGAGGTAGATAGATGCTGTAGTACTGGTTTGGCCTGCTGTTCTATGACCTGTATCTATGATCCTGGTTAAGACCTTACCTTTCTCATCTGCCAATGGGCATTAGTAATACCTACTTAACAGGGAAGTTTTAGGTATTAAAGAAATATTCAATAAATGATAGCTGTTTCATATTACTTTCTTATTTATTTACACAAGTATTCAAGCTACTTTTCTGATGTGCAGGACTTGTAAATAGCAAGCCTGTAGATGTATTAAATAATAGCATCAAGATATAATCAAAGTAGCCACCCGTAATCTCTATCAGTCACCTCAGGTCTCATGTTACCCCAGAAAAACATAAAATCCAAGTAGAAATTGTGTTTTTGCTGTGCAAATGCAGATTTAAGCAAGTCTTCTAGTTCAACAGTCTATGAACATTTTTACTCAGGTGTTTCATAAATGAGTTTATAAAAACTGTATTGTTACCTTGTGCATTTTTAGGTTCTAAAATTTTTCTTTGAAAATTTAAATAGTTCCAAAAGATGTGATTTTATGGTACATTTTGCATATTTACATTTCAAAATGACACTTTTTCGTCAACTTTGAGTGTATCTTATGAGTGCAGACCACAGTGTTCAGATTATCTGCCATCATCTGTTTAAAAATGACATAAAAATGTTGATAATGGAGAATTTTACATGATTTCATTTTCCTTTTTGAACTGTATTTTCAAATTATTTCTCCTACTGTATAGCATGCTAATCAATATTTTATCCTTGACAGTCTTTGAGTACTCTATCCTACATTGTAACTAAGATATGTATCTATATTGAATTTTTAATTGTTTTAATTTTCTGTGATCATAGTCATTAAGTTAAAATTTTCCTCCTGAGTTATCATTATATTATTTTAGTACACAGGTGCTCAAAACAACATAAATTATTTTCAATAAAAATTCATAAAAAATAGGATTTTATTGGAAATAGCTCATAGTAAGATGGATTTAGCTATTTATCCAATTATATTATGTATTCACGTAGAAATAATATTTATTGATAGAGTCAAGTTGGCAGAGTGGTTGCATTCTTCATTCATATAAATAATTTTTGTTATTAAAAAGATCATTGGGTTAAGTGAACCAAAAACCATAATTGTTTATTATGAAAAATCATATGTAATGATTTTTTCAGGGTGACAGCTGAATTATGCCCTTGTTGAGTTTCTTGAAAGCCAAAAATTAGAATCTACCTAACTTGAAAAAGAGTTCATTATCCTCTCATTTTCATTATCCTCATGCTTTCCAAACCACTCTCAAGTTTTTTGGAAAGTATCCAAAAAAGACATTATTAAGGCTGAAACAGAACAAAACCAAAAACCAAAAACAACAACCTGGTAATTATACCTATTACTCTTTTACTTAGAAGGATAAGAAAGTAGAAATGTTAATTTCACATTATCTCTGACAGCATATTACATTTAATCAATTGTTTGTATCAAATGCTATGTGCGAGTGTGTGTGCATGTGTGTGTATGTATTTGGGGTACAATGCAACTTATTTCATGCATAGAATCTAACTGTTATAAAATCTGATTGATAAAAGCAGTTTTCACTGTCAAAACAATCAGCTAAAACAGAGTTATCTTTTGTCAGAACCATCTGGTTGTCTTTTTCTGTTGAAACAAATGGGTTCATGCATGTCCCCATGACAATCGTCTCAATTCTAATTTCTAACTTTAAGATAGGTAGATGATAGATTGACAGCTAGATGATAGAAAGATAGATAGATGGATGGGGAACAGGGTTTAAAAATAAGTCTGTCTCATTGAGGAACTAATGTCCTCTGCCTTGAGTATTTATTAATGCATATTCCTTGTGTTACTTTCACAATGCAACACAGCAATTATTTGAGAATCGGCGAAGGTATGGAAAAGCTGAGACCCTTAAGCGAAAGCTGTACTTGGACATGCTGAGAGTCTATGTACTATTTCTCAGTTTGCCATGAGATAGCATTTTATTCTTTCTCTGTTGACAAAAACCTTCTTAATAACAGGTGTACATATATATGCAGATCAGTGCAAGCCTAAAATGTTGGGGTTTTTAAACAACCATTTTGCAAGCAATTTGGCATCATTGTGTAAAATTAAACATTTGCACATCTTGCTACCCAGCAGTTCCACTCCTAGAGATATACCCTAGAGACAGTTTGCATCAATAAACAGGAAAACTATCATTCATAGCAACATTATTTGGAATAGCAAAAGGATAAGGGGGGAGTTATAGGAGGTGGAAGGAATATTCTTCAATAAGAAAATGAGTCACGTTGGCTATAATCTAATAATAAAATCAAGGAATTATAAATGACAACGTAGATGGACCTAAAAAATAATAAGGGTATAAAAAACATATTCTACTAGGTGATGCAATGTAACACCATCTTTGAGGCTCAAAAGCAAGTAGAACTGAAAAATAAAAACTAAATACCTATTTTGGAGATACATACTTTGATAAGGACTGACTTTTTAAAATCAATGAAATTCTAATTCTAGACAGTAATTATCTTTGGTATATAATCTAGGCAGGGATGTAGGATGGGGAGGAGCACACAGATGTAATGTTGTTAGTAATGTTCTAACTGTTAACTTGGTGATAGATTAATGAAATTCATTTTATTATAATGCTTTGAAGCATATACTTTCATAGTTATTTTATAATGATTTTTAAAATTAAAATGTGATGACAGATATAAATTCAGATATACCGTTACTCATAAATAATGTAAATGGATTAAATTCTCCAAGTGCATAACAGAAATTGTCAGATTGGATTCAAAAAGGTAACTTACGGTATACAGCTATAGGAGGTATGTCAGGAACTTTAGCACATAGAAAAGTTGGAAATAATAAGAATGATACGCTAGGCAATACTGCTCAAAATGAAACTGATGTACTTTCCTTTTATCAGTTTCTGCATAAAACAAAATTGCCCTTAAAGCAACATTAATATTAAGAAAAGAAGGTCACTATATGGAGGATCGAGAAAACAAGCATCATGCTATAACTACTCATGTGTACACCAAGTAAAACAGCTTCAAAAATCAATGAGGAAAAATACTAGTAGATTTTCAAAAAGAAATAGACAAATATACAATCATAGTGATAGACCTAACACAACTCTCAGAAACTTATGTATGTAACATAAATATTAACAAAGATTAATAAAAATATAAACACACACCAATTAAAAGCTTGACATATATAGAGTGCTGCATGCATGAAACATTTATAAAATTTAATATCCTTTAGGACATTAGACACTGATATCATAAAGATCACATCCACTGGATCACAAAGAATAATAGCAAAAATAACAAATCATGACACATTTAGACATTTAAAAATATACTTCTAAATAGGTTATGGATCAAGCATATCATCTGGAAAATTATTTACTTATTTACCACTCTGCCTTTGTTTATTTCTAATTTAAAAAGATAACCCATATTTCTTGATCTTGCTAAATGAACCTATCTTTTTTTCATGCCTTTGTACTCTTATAAATGGATTCAAAACCAAATTTTTAAAAAACTTTTTAATATTTTTGGTTTTGTTTATTTCTTAGGTTGATGGATACAAATTTCATATATTTATGGTATACCAGATGATATTTTGAAATATGTATATGCTGTGGAATGGCTAAATCAAGCCAATTATTGTATTCATTACCTCACATAATTCCTTTTCTTTTTTTTGGTGAGAACACTTAAAATCTACTCTCTTAGCAATGTTCAATATATAATACATCATTATTAACGATATTAACCATGCTGTACAATAGATCTCTTGAATTTATCCATCATAGAAATTTTAAAACACAATAATGGAAAAGGAAAATATTTCATATTAAAACATATGAATTGCATATATTAAGTATTACTCGGAGAAAGTAAAAGAAAATAAATTATAATAAGAGCAATACTAATGAATTTGGTGGGGGTGGGGTGAAATATAAACACCAATGATACCAAGAGCCTGTTTTAAAAACTTGCTAATCAGGGGAAAAAGACTCTGAAAAGATTGACAAAGGGAAAAGAAAAACAAAATTGTTAGCAAACTTAGGAATATTTTGAAAAATGTAATAAATGTACATTAAAACTTTCTGAAGGTAAAAGTATGGACAGTTGTGTAGAATCATATCAAAACTGATCCAGTAAGAAAGAAAATGTGAATAGAGTTGTAACTCTTAAAGGAATTGAATCAAACACACACACACACACATCCACACATCCCAAACA